AGGCGCGGGGGAGTTCCCCGGCGGCTCCATGAGGCGGGAAGGGCACGGAGGGGAGCGGAGACGGGGGGGGAGGCCCGACCCCGCCGCCGGTCTTTGTCAGCCGCGGCCTCGCCCGGCCCCTCCGGCAGCGCGGCCGGGGGTAAACCGGGGCGGCCCGGGGTTGTGGCGGCGGGGAAGGGTCTCCAGGCGGAGCAGCGGCACCCGCGGGAGCCTGTGGAGGGTCCCCGCTCTCCCTCAGAGACGCGGTGGCTCGGCCGGTGCCCCGCGTCCATGTTTACACCGAGGCGAGCTGCAGCCGTAACTTTTCTTGTGCGGGCAAGTCCCGTCTTAGCTTGCCAGCATTTTATCCGGGCTTCACTTAAACCGCACGCCTGAAGCGTCGGTGTATTTAGAAAAGGGTGGGAGAGGAGGAAAAAAAAAAAAAAGGAAAAGAGCCATTTGTGCCGTGCAGAACCACGTTTCACCGAATCTGGAGCGCGATACAAGCTGTGTGTGTGTGTTACTAGCTAGCGCTTACGGCAAGTTCACTTTTTGGTAGTGTCGTTGCTGTGTGTTGCCCTTGTAGTCCTCTTCCACCACATAGTTTGTTCTGTTCTCCGTTTCTTTGCTCTCTCTTCAAGTGTTTTTTCCTGTGTGATGATTTTGTAACTTCCTTTCAACATCTAAGCTTTGAAAAACCCCACCAGTATGAACTTAACAAAAGGCAGGTTTGTCTGTCTATACAGCTTTGTAGCAGCAATCCTAGGAAGAGCATTAGCTGGGGCAGAGCAATATCGAGGAGAGATGCGGGACAGCCTAAAGCTGCCTTAGTCTCTGATGACCCGAGATTTGCAGTCCGTCCCTCTGTTCCTCGGTAGGTCTGGTGTGGGTAACCCACGGAGCAGTTTGCCCGTTACACTGCGGGTGCTGTTGATTGGGATATTTACGTGGCAGCGCTCTGAAACGGGTATCTGAACTGATCCGGGTTAAAAACCAGCACGCTTTCAGAGGGGTGTTTTACCGGTCCTGCCACATAGCTTGTTCGTACAGTTCAATCGGTGCGGTGGGGTGGAGGTCATTGTTTCAGGCTATTTATGTTGATAAGGAAATTGTAATACAAAAATATGTCTTTAGTTTGACTTTGTTTTGGTTGTGCTTTGTTGCTTCTAGACACATGAGAAGGAGCGTTCTTTCATTTAGATTTCATAACTGAATACCCAACAAGACGACAGTAAACTCTTGAAATAACTTTGAACTGGCACCTGCTGTTTTGCAGAAGAGCAAGTCACCTTATTAAAAGCATGAACATTTATTGTCCCTTGCTGTTGGGAATCAAAACTACCTAGACAAGCTGATTCTCACCTTACTAGCCTGGTGGGCCCTCTTATCTGTAGTTCAGAACGGGAGCCTTGATCTTGTATGCCAAAGGAAAACTCCTTTTTTATTATTAGTTTACACAGAACTACTGGTTATAAAGATTAGATGGCTTTATTTCTTAAACTCT